TCTTAAAAACAAATGTTGAAAAAGCAGCTTAGTAAGAAATGGGCATCTTCAGACCACACTCAAACGTTCATATTTATGCCAATACTGAAATTTCAAACTATAGGGAAGTACCTGCTCATACTGTGACACTAAAACCCCCAACTCACTGCCTATTTTTTCAGAATGTGTCCATTTTGAAGCTCTATTGATCCTAGCACAGAATATCAAAAATTACCTTAGTATTTTAGGCTATAACACTACATGTCACAACATACCCCACTCTTGTCTTTAAAAAAAAATACAAATGACTAATTCTACCAGTCTAATGCTATTTACTCAGTTACCAAAATTTAAATTAATTATGTTCTCAAACATAATTGTTAAAAATTGGCAACATTATGCAGGCTTAATTAAGATTAAATCCAATTTACTAAATGTACTTTAATTGGTACTAATTACATTAGCTTTCCTTTCAGAATGACAAATTCCCCATAGGTTTCACTTTAATAGTCTTCTATCAAAATCAACACAGGATGACTGATGATGAGCATCACACGAGGGGTGGGAAAAGAGATGCTCTTCCCCCTTCACCACTCCCCCGCCCCGAGACACACAGGCACACTCAACTACCGCTGCTCTCTGCGCGTTTATCCTTTTATCAATTTGCTAAGTCACAGAGTCATGACTCCATCACAGCCATCATTTTCTGTTCCAGTGAAAAATTTCTCTAAAAATAAATACTCTGTGGCTGGGAGCAGCCAAGAAGAACAGAAGCTTTAACAGAAAAATACACAAAGGTTTCAAATATCAGGGCCACCAATTACTAGGGTACTTCCAAGGACTCCAGGGAGTCCTGTTCTTGAACCCTTTGAGACGCAAATCTAATAAGTGAATAAGCCTAACCTGATCTTGAGAACTAGGCCCAATTACGCCGAAGGGCAACTTCACTGCATTATTGCCTGCTTTCCATTACAAGGGCATCCAGCGAGTACATCTGGAAAAGAACCTGAGAGGAACCAAGGCTGTCTGCCCACAAAAACAAATAAAGACAGATATGCCTCTGTGCTAAAGCGAAAAAAAAGAAAGAAAATATAATAAGTAGGTGGTTTGCAGGGCTGTCTGTATTTCATAATGTGATAAAGTGCCCCCAGGATTTTTTATATGATTGAATTTAGAAAGCGCAGGGGGGTTGGGGGGGCTGGGAGGGGAAGGGCGAATCACTCAATTTCAGCCAAGTAAAATTCCAAGATGGGAGAGGAAAAGGAGGGAATTTAAGGTGAAAAACTAAAAAAAGCTTCGCGCACACCAAATGAAGCAACCAACGCTATCTATATAATGTACCAAACTAGACCCTAACGCTGTGATCATAAAGCAACATGGGAAATATTTTGCAGTTGCTCAAGCAAGAGGAAAAAAACCAAAACACTGTGGCAATAGAAGGGAAGATGTGAGAGACAGGAAATTGGTATCCAATTTAAGAATGATAGCGAACAAGTTTCTTAGCCACAGCGAGTTTAAATCAATATCTGACAAAATATTTAAGTGTTTTGCATGAGTGTACAATACTTAAAACTACTAATTTGAACAGACTGAGCAGTAATGGAAAAAGGTGTTTAATTAAAACTCAGTGCTTTGTAATCCTCATACATAGTTGTAACTAAGTATTTAACTTCTCCAGAATATCAGTGATGACTCCATCACGATAACTGTATACAATTTCTGAAGTAAAGCATTTAGAAATTAAAAGTTAAAAGGGCTTTCACTGTGGGTTCCCCCCCACCAACACTTCAAACAATTTAATTACACATTGCACTGGCAAGCTGACTTTGTCCCATGGAATTTGGTGCAGTCAGTGTTAGCCTACATACAACTAATTGCTGTAAAAACAGGGTACCTAGAAATATAAACAAGTTTAACTGCAATGTTTGTTTTCAAACGTCTGTAAGAATTCGCTATGTGGGTGGCCTGTAAGGACTCCAGTCTTTCTGAACTATTTCCATGTCTACTGCTTTACCAATTGGGGTTTGTTTGGGGTCTTTTGTTTTGTTTTAATTTTTTATTTTTTAAATAGGACCTGAAACAATCTAGCTATTTATGTGAGAACAGACCCGACACCTCTGAAAGTCAGTGACCAGTCTTCCCACCAGCACCTGTGACCAGAATCAGGTCCAGAGAGCCACCAGACACATACAATCTGATCAGCTGCAATCACAGCCTTTTCCTCTCAACTGTTGTTAAACGCACTTGTTGAGTCTTCATGGTACCTGTGAGGAGTACATCTGAATTCAACAGGTCTACATATATGTCTGTAAAATAACACATACATGCAAGGTCCCATAACTTTAGAGCTGCAGAAGCAAAAAGCTTTGAGGCAGAAAATCCCACCATCTTCGTATTTGTATGCCATCTAGTGCAAATGGCGCTAAGCAGTACTGTGGCATTGGGATGCTAATGGAGTACAGAATACAATAAATAATAAATAACATGAAAAAACATCTGACTTGTATGTCTGCTCTCAACAAGATAAAGAAATCCTATTTCCACAACCCAGAGAAGTTCCAAATCCCTAACTTTGAACAGAAATGCATACAAACCAATTTTCAGATGGTCTTTCTTCTCCCATCCAGCAATTTCTTTATTTCTGCAGTTTACAGTCCCCAGTAACGCTGGCGAATTGCTCAACCATTCGCTAAAATGAGTTGTCAGTATTAAACTCCACCATATAAAAAGTTCCCTCACTGGAAAAGAGGTCAGATGTTTAATTCATTGTCCTCTAGAGAAGGTTAAAAACACACATTATCGAATAAGAAACTCTGATTTACACCACCATGCTCCATCTGACTAATCTCCTGCTAATCTTGGCCTAAGTGCTAGACTTCAAGGCACAAAACCGAGCGCGCTAACATCCTCACAGAAAACTCATTTACTCTTTCGTGTTTGAGATGCTAAGACACTGGTTTTAGACAAAGGTCCAAGTAAGCAGCCTGAGGGAAACAGGAACATGGCTGTGCATCAATTGCTTTTGTAGCTCCAGCTTCAATCAGTCCAGGTTAACCGAAGAGAACAGACTTTTTCACACGCAAATACAAACGCCACAATACCTAATATGCATTTGTGATGTAGCTATCATCCTAAACAGCAAACCCCGAAAGTTCGAGGTCAGACAGCTCTGAAGGTACAACCCACATACCCATCCCTATTCACATACACCCTCCCCACTCCCCACACAGTACAGGACCGCCTGCGTGTGCGGAGATTGCATGTGGCAAGTCAACCGAATAACGCACAACTGGCAGCCAAAACCGAAACGTACACAGAGCCCATACACCATACAGAAGATGGAAGTTTCAGGGCCAGGTTAAGTACAAAAAAATTTCCAATGCACTCAGGCATGCAATTAAAGCAAGTCACACAGAATACACATCTGTTTTAAGGCCGATGGAAGAAATTGTAGAGAGCATTCTTACGCAAAACAAATTATCTACCTACCTGTTTATGCATCTCTATATTCAGCCCATAGGACATCTCGTAATACTAAGAAAGAAGAAAATTACTCTATTAGACTTTGCAATTGTGAGAGCTATTCCAAATTTCACTTTGACTCAAAACATCACCTGTACAAAGACATACAGACCTAAAAACATTTATTGGCCTTGAAGAGCTCCTGGAATTTGAAAGAGCATTTCAGCAACTACTCTTTTTTTCTTATTTATCTACATTGCTTCATGTCAAATTTACAAAGAACAGCCATAAAACAAGGTAAAAAACAGACAACAAAAAATCACGAAAAGTAATCACAGAGTTACAGAAGCAGAAAAAAAGCCACATAGAAAATACTCAAGATTTTATTCCTTAGCACACATAAAAGATGCCAAAAAAAAATGCCTGAAGTGCTTGAAGCCAGACATACATATAAATCAGCAATGTCTAACAGACTAGTTATTCAGTATTTTAAATTAAAAACACAAAAAAGATGCAATTAAATTGCAGGGATGCAAAAAGTGAAAAAGCATAGAAATTCAGAGCCAAAGAAGATACACTGATCTCAGTATGTCCTGTTGTGCCCGAGTATTGTAGGGATCTCAGTTCAGTGTGCAGTGTTAGTACTAAACAATCTCCAAGACTCAGGCATATCAGGCATGAAAAAGACAACTGCGAGCCTTAACATTTGCTTGTACTCTTGGTTAAGAATTTTTTGAAGGTTATGTATTCTTTTGTGAATACAAGAGCGCTATTTGTCACATACATCTGGAAAACGGCTAATCCTTCATAGACGTACAAGGCAAGCGACAGCAAGAGCTCCTCTGGAGTTACCATGATCCATCACACAATCACGTATTTAGAGATGTCTTCCTATGCACGTTATTTAACCAGGCAGACCACAACCATTGAGGAAATCCCTTTCACAGATGAGATCCCTGCCATTCTGAATTTAGCGAAACAATGAACCAGCTGCCCAGGTGCAACAGTTCTTCTAGGAAGTACGCTTCAGGCTTATATGCATACATTACAATTTTGGCTTCCTACCATCACAGAAAAAAATAGTACCCCAAACGGTTTTAGGGAGAGACGACCATTGGGAGAAGTCAGCAAAAGTAACAATATCATCCCCAGGTACACTGTGAGAGTTGTACATGGTTTTAAAGGGCTGACAAGTAATCTGCTAGCATTTGGAAGAAACACTCCCAATTGCTTAAAAGGTTAAAAAGCAGGTTTCACACAGAAACTAACTGCTGCAAACAAGTTATAAACCCCTGAAACTAAGGATTTATAACAGAAGCACTGATGCAACGTCAACAACAGCAGCACTACTATAATCTTTCTGTTCACCTCCAGCAATCCAAATGTATTTCAGTCTCAGTATACCAAGCTAATAGACATTTTGAATTTGTTATACAGCTTGCTTACCATGACATAATGTCGCTGCATCTCTGTCTTCTCACTGGCCAGTTTTTCACATTCTAGCTTTAAACTGTTCAAGACATAAAAAGGAAAAAGCATGGGTACTTCATAACACAAAACTGACACTCTTCTGAGCACAGGTTACTCCTCTTTTCAAGCATTTCTCCAACACACAAATAGAAGTGTGCATTCCAGCTCTTGCTTGGGAGTTCAGGGTGGGGTTTGTACTTTTCCTCTTTCAAGAGACATCATGCAACATCCTCACCTCCTAAGCGAACTACATACAGTACACAGCAGTGTATTTTTCTCTGACAAAAAAAACCCAACACTGGTTCACAGAAGAAGAACGCGGGTGTTCATACCTGTAATGCTTAAGCTTGAGAAGCCACTTACAAATCCATAATTTGGGTTTCAGAGTTTTTATTTAAAAGAGTTTCAGAAACACCTCTTGCTTTCACCCAACCCACAGAGGAATGAAATGTGCATCACCACTTCAAGGAGCAAAAACTTGCTGGATTTTTTTTTTTTTTTCCCCTATTACCGATGACAGAACTGCAAGGAAAACACTGCAGGTAATTTAAGGAATACTGTGGTAAACACGAACACATTTGCCGGTTTTTTTGTTTGTTTTCAGAAGCCCGCTAAGCAATCCTGCCAGAAGTCACTTGTCACTTCGAGGACACGGCGCTCTTCCACCTAAGGATAATGAAATAGCTCGCCGACTCACTTCCAGGTTATCAGCACTTGACATGTCAATGAAAGGCGCGAGGGGGCCGAGCCAAGACAAAA